CACTTTAAGGACTAAGGTGTGCCTGACCCAAGCCATGGGGTTTTCAATAGCCTCATATGCATGAGAAAGTGGGCAATGAATAAACAAGACTGAAGAAGAATTTATGCCTTTGAATTATGGTGTTGGTGAAGAATATTGAATATACCATGGACTACCAGAAGAATGAACAAATCTGTCTTAGAAGAAATACAGCCAGAATATTCTTTAGAAGCCAGGATGGCAAGACTTCATCTCACATACTTGGGGTGTTATCCGGAGGGATCAGTCCCTGGGGAAGGACATCATGCTTGATAAAGTAGAGGGTCAGTGAAAAAAGGAATACCCTCAAGGAGATGGATTGAAACAGTGTCTGCAACAATGGGCTCAAGCATAACAATTGTGAGGATGGCACAGGACTGGGCAGTGTTTGGTTCTGTTGTAAATAGATAGGGTCACTATGAGTCAGAATCGCCTTGATGACATGGAACAAGAACAAGAACAACAGATTTATGGTATTTTTGTTTTGCTGGATATAGAATTCTCAGTTGACAGTTCTTTTCTTTCAGTACGTTAATTATGTCATTCCACTATCTTCTAGCTTCCAAGATTTCTGAGAAGTCACCCTATAACCTTATCGAGGTTCCCTTGTATGTGACAATTCACTTCTCTTTTGTTGCTTTCAGGATTCTCTCTTTATCTTTGTTTTTTTGAGAGTTTGATTATGTAATGTGTTGTGGTGTGAGTCTCTTTGGGTTTATCCTGCTTAGAGTTTGTTGAGCTTCTTGGATGTGTAGATTCATGTTTTTCATCAGGTTTGGAAAGTTTTCTATCATTCTTTCTGTCCCTTTCTTTCTTTCTTTTCTCCTCTGGGATTCCTATGATGTGTGTGTTGGTTTGCTTGATGGTGTCCCACAATGTCTTCTAGGGTCTGTTCACTTGTCCTGATTTTTTTTTTCTCCTCATTTGTTTTGTCTTCTAGTTTACTAGTTCTTTCTTCTCCAGCAGAATTCTGTTTTTGAGCCCCTACAGTGAATTTTTCACTTCAGTTATTGTATTTTTCAGCTCTAGTAATTCTGTTTGGTGCCTTTTTTATAGTGTTTATATCTTTATCAGGAGCCCTGGTGGTGCAGTGGTTAAGCACTATGCTGCTAACTGAAAAGTCAGCAGTTTGAACCCACCAGCCAATCCTCAGGAAAAAAGTGTGGCAGTCTGTTTTTGTAAAGATTACAACCTTGGAAACCCTATGGGGCAGTTCTACTCTGTCCTATAGGGTCGCTATGAGTCAGAATTAACTTGATGGCAACACGTTTGAGTTTTTTTTTCTGGTTTATATCTGTAATAGGAGCCCTGGTGGTGAGTGGTTAAGAGCTTGGCAGTTCAAACCCAATAGTGGCTCCGTGGGAGAAAATACCTGGTGATCTGTTCCCGTAAAGATTATAGCCTAGGAAACCCTACAGGGCAGTTCTATTCTGTCACATGGGGTGGCTATGATTCAGAATGGACTCAATGGCACAAAACAACAATGGCATATCTTTACTGATATTTTCATTTTGTTTATATATTGTTTTTCACAGTTTTCTTTTGCTCTTTGCCAGTGTTTTCCTTTAGTTCTGTGAGCATATTTAATAATGATTTTTAAAAATTATTCTATTCTATCCAATATTTGGGTTTCCATGTGGATGATTTCTGGTATGTAATTATGATGTTTTGAATGGGCCATTCTTTCCTGTCTCTTTGTTTTTTCTGTTGAAAGTAGGACATTTGAATATTATGTTATAATACTCACATTATACTATTATAATGGGAAATCTCTAAAGGGAAAGCTCTGAGACTCATATTCTTTCCCTTCCCCAGGGTTTGGAAGTTTTATTTTTTCAATTGTTGAAGGCTGTAATTGTCTGCTCAGCCACCTTCCGTAAGTCTTTTTGAATGACTGTTTTCCTGGAAATACCCAGACACTGAGGACTCTGTTCCCCAGCCTGTGCCCAACTGACTCACCTTATATTTTGAAATAGATTTCCTTGTACTCCAGAAAACAAAAGAAACACATCCACACACGGTGCGGGGTGGGGGATGGGGGGACTTTCCCAGTCTTTGCAACTTGGCTCTGTGTCACGGTTCTTTTTCTAAAATATATTATTTTATACAATCCTTGCAGCATCTTTGGGAGATAGAAAATGTTTCTTTATTTTAAAGATATAGGTAATGAGACACAGAGAGGTTTAAAGTCTTGTCCAAAGTGACCCGGCCAGTAAGCTGTGGAATTGAGATTTACACTCAGGCAGTGTGTGGTTTCAGAATCCAGGCAGTCCACTACCTCATCCCAGCTGTGCTGGTTGCTCAGTGCATCACTCCGCAGTGATGGAAACAAGGCTCTCTTTTTGTAAGAAGGATTCTAAAGGAAAAGAACATGGTTTTCTCAGGAATCCTCTTGGGGAGAAAAGACATAGTTGGGGAATAAGACTTGGCCCAAATGCTACTGAGATCACTTTGATTTTGTCCCTTCAGGTGTAGGCTCTTGAGCTTTTAGTTCTTCAGGGAACTGACTCTAAATTAGTAAAAATTGCCAAGAAAATGTCCCTTATTTTCAGTATGTGAGTCAGTGTGCATATCAAAGTGTATTTCTCTACTCCCAGGCTGATCAAGATGAGGATTTGTCTTCTTATCAAGTGCCTAGAAAGTCATGCCTTTTGGGGAAGGTTACCACTGTGAAGGAAGTTGAATCTTCCATCCTTCTTCTAGAAACTGTTCATTCTCTTTGAAGCGGTTAAAGACTTGAAGAATATCTTTAAAAAGGTGAATACATGTGTTTTGGGTAACATGAAGTTTTTGAAATATGATGGAGAAATATGAGAGTGAGTTTGAACTGTGAGAATACAACCTCCCCACCCCAGGGTCTCTGAAAAGAGCAGACTTTGGCATTTTGCTCATATATTTATGATACTAAACAACTGGCTTATGTAACTTTCTTCGAACTGAATTTCCTGCAGATTTTTTATCATATAGAGGTACTGCAACATACATGAGGGATTCTAAGGTTACAGAATAAGAGGTATGGAAGGGGTATAGAGATTATCATCATTTTATAGAAGATACAAAATAACTTTTATGTTTATATAAAAAAAGAGCTGTTGCTGTTGTTAGGTGCCATCGAGTTGGTTCTGACTCATAATGATGCTATGTACAATAGAACAAAACACTGCCTTGTCCTGTGCCATCCTCACAATTATTGCTATGTTTGAGCCCATTGTTGCAGCCACTGTGTCAATCCATCTTGTTGAAGGTATTCCTCTTTTTCACTGACCTCTACTTTACAAAGCCTGATGTCCTTCTCCAGGGACTGGTCCCTCCTGATAACGTGTCCAAAGTACATGAGATGAAGTCTTACCATCCTCACTTCTAAGGAGCACTCTGGCTGTACTTCTTCCAAGACAGATTTGTTTGTTCTTCTGGCATCCACGGTATATTTAATATTCTCTACCAACACCATAATTTAGTTTGCTTGGACTAAAACTAGAAGCAGTCTATGCTGCCCCCTACCTCCACACACTTATCTTTGTATATTTGGACAGGCACAAACAAAAACAGTTCTGCAATGGATAATGGTCCTAAAATAATCCTAGAATTGTCTATGTGACTGCTGCACATACACACCATATATCATTAAACATAGAATAAGGATAATGATAAAATAATGACACTAACAATTCAAATAATTGTTAACTATTTGAAAATCTATTTAATGTTTCACATATTATATCATTCAAGAGTGATATATTAATTTGATTTCATTTATTGAGATTAATTGAACTGATTATAAATACTATGTAAAACTAGATTTTTCATATGCATTATCCACACCATTATCTTTTGCTGATTTTGAAGAGCTTGAATTGATCTCCTTTGACTAATGAGTCAGAGAAATAGTTTTTTCTTGAATGTTTTGCCTGCATAAAATATTATGCATTTGAGATTTTACATATATCACTACTAAAACTGATATTTCCTGATAGATTTCAGGATAAGAGCCTTAAAAGAATATTATATAAAATATGGGAAATCAGGTTAAATTATTTATTTTTCTACTGAATTAAGATATCCTTCATAAATTCATAGAAATTACATGTAGAAAATAAGCAGAGTCGAAATCAGTCAAACCCACAGCAGAGACATAATTTTCAATGCAATTTCCATGGCAAGTTATTGTCTTATATTTGCCAGATAACTTGATTTTAAAGATAGGGCCTCTCAATTCCTTCTAAACGTTACATTCCTTTATTGGAATTATGTGGGTAAAAGAAACTTCTACCCTCTTCCCTTTTGTTCCCAATCTGTCATTTTATATTATTGGCTCTTGGTGCCCCTTTGACTTCACGTTTTCAGGGCAGCTCTTTATAAACATGAACAACTGTTATTCTTTTCTACTATTCTCCTTCAGAATGAATAACCTTTGTCAATTGTATGAATTTCCCTTTCTACACCTCTCTATAATGGAGAATAGACTGATAAACACATATGTGAATTGGGTCTTAATAACATTAGAATGATACTCTTCATAGTACAGGAACTGTTATGCTTACTGTTTCCCAAATAACTAGTGTTAGAATCTGACCATCTCATCAGTTTTTCCACTAATACTGGTAAGTGTATTTCTAAGTGGGTTTTATTATCCCATTATACATTAAGATGAAACGTGGAGAATGATTCCCATTTCAAATACAATTTTAGAACTTGAGGGAGTTTTCGATCATATAGCTGGAGTTTTTCTTTGGTTGGAGGATGTATTGAATCCAAAGAGATCAAGTGTGAATTGCTCAATTTTACACAGGATTTTAGCACAACTACCCGTCTGTATTATCCAGGAATATTATCTCCCCGTTCAATAATATTCTAATGATTGTCTTTTTTAGATCTGTTTAAAACAGCCAGTCATTGGCTTAAAAGACTATTTGTAACTGTTAATGACTGTTATTTTATAATAAAAAATCTTTTTATTTGTTATAACAGATTGCAATCAACTGATGGAAGATAAGAATCAGACAATAGTGATGGAATTTCTTTTCTTGGGTCTCACAGATCATCTCCATCAGCAGATTGTTCTCTTCATCGTGTTTCTCTTTGTTTACTTGGTCACATTGTGGGGTAACCTGGGAATGATCACACTGATATGGACTGATTCCAGACTCCACACTCCTATGTACTTTTTTCTTAGCCACTTGTCCTTTATAGATATTTGTTCCTCTTCTTCCATTGCTCCAAAGATGCTGTGTGACATCTTTGTGGAGAAAAAAGACATCTCTTTCCTTGGTTGTGCTACACAAATGTGGTTTTTTGGTCTGTTTGTGGCAACTGAGTGTTTCCTCCTGGCTTCCATGGCATATGATTGGTATGTGGCCATTTGTAAGCCCTTATTGTACACACTCATTATGTCCCAGCAGGTCTGTGTGCAGCTAGTGGTAGGGCCTTATGCTGTGGCTCTTATAAGCACCATGACCCATACAACATTGACTTTTTGCTTACCCTTCTGTGGTCCAAATATCATAAATCACTTCTTCTGTGATATTTCACCACTGCTCTCCCTGGCATGTGCAGACACCTGGATCAATAAGTTGGTGCTTTTCATCTTGGCTGGAGCTATAGGAGTACTCAGTGGCTCGATCATCATGGTCTCCTATGTTTCTATCCTGATGGCCATCTTGAAGATCCAGTCTGCTGATAGGAGGTGGAAAGCCTTCTCTGCTTGTTCTTCTCACTTGGCAGCTGTCTCTATCCTCTATGGGACTCTTTTCTTTATTTATGTTCAGCCTAGCTCAATTTCCTCCCTGAATATCAATAAAGTGATTTCTCTGTTTTATACTGTGGTAATCCCCATGTTAAACCCCCTTGTCTACAGTCTGAGAAACAAGGAGGTGAAAGATGCTTTCTGGAGGAAGCTTGAAAGAAAAAACTTTTTAATAGGTAGGTAAAATAGATTTTTTTTGTGTATTTTTTCATAGATGTTGATTCAGAATGTGTAGTAAAAAGAACACTGGGTTGGAGATTAGAGGTTGCATATAATAAATCGAATAAATTCTGGATTTTCCAATTAACAGAGTATTTGAAAAATGCGAAGTTCTTAAATATTTTTCTACTTCAATCTTGTTCTTTGTGGCATGATGAGGACTTCTAAATAATATAGAGATGGATTGAGAATATTAATGTAAAAATATACTAGAGGAAAGCATAGGTAAATATTCGTGTAATCTTGGGTGAATTCTTTTTAAACCAGATGTGAACACTAAAAGCTATAAAAGAAAGATGAAAACACCACAAACAACATTAAAAGACAAGTAATTAAATGAGGGAAAATATTTGCAATACATGTGCCAAACAATGGAATAATATCCCTAATACTCAAAGAACAGTCACAAATTCACAAAGAAACATAAACAATACATAAATGGGTAAACAAATAAACAGGCAACTCACAAAAATGGGAATGCAAGTTGCAAAAAATGTCTAGAAAAATGCTCAATATCATTATTGGTCAAAATGCCAATGAAGTGCCTTTTCATCCATCAGATAAATCACTGATAGAGGCCACTGTTGGGAGGTTCCTATTTGACTATGGATACTCTTATTATTTCTGCTAGTGTATGAAGTCTTCCATTTCTACAAAGTAATTTGGCAGTTTCCATTTAAAATACTAAATTAATATAGCTTCTGAGTGAGAAATCCCCTGATTCAAAGCCTACACTACAGAAGTATAAATACCAATTCAGAAGATTACATATATGATAGCATTATGTGAAGTGACAAAGAAAAATAAAGGAAACCCACCGCTGGATGGATTATCCATCACTACATAGAATATCCATCACTAGTAGAAAAGTATACACTTTCTGTGAAATGATGTGCAGCTAATGAAAAGAATGATTTAGATAGTCATGGATTGGTCTAGAGAGAATTATTGTATATAGTCATTTTTTGGTCAAAAAAAAAACAAGTTGAAGATCAATGTGCATCACTGATTACATTGAAAAAAGGTAGAACCGTGTATTATGAATAAATTGTCATGTGAATATAAACATGGAGAGAACTATGAAAGCATATACACTAACCTGTTAACACTGATTACTTCAATGGAAGTGGCACTGGAGATGGGTAGGGAGAGGTTTTATTCACACATATTTGAGCTGTAGTTTATTCATGCCCTCTTGTGCTACTTGGATTCAATCCAGATGTACTACTTTCATCCTGCGAGACATTGCTGGTGGAACTGTGTCACTTTATTTATTGGAACATTTGGAAGAACCAGGTTCATTATGGGCAGGCTTGGATGCATGGTCACAAGTTGTCCATGTCCAAGAATTCCTTCATTGCCAGGGCCCAGAAACAGACCAGCTGCTGTTTCTCAAAAGCCATAAAATTCTCTGCTGCAAATAGCATGAACTTGCTTCTGAATCCCTGAGCCTGAATTATTATTATCCCACTGAGGCTTGCAATAAGCTCCATACTGCTTATATTCCCGCTAATACCACCTGCCATAGCATACAGTCTGTTGGATCATGTGGCCCCAGTGTCATGGCTGCTTGCACTGTAACTGGTACTTGCTATAGAGCCTTTTCTTGCTCTGTTGTTGTGTCGTTAGGTGCCATCAAGTTGATTCCGTATTGTAGTGACCCTATTTACAACAGAACAAAACACTGCCCGGTCCTGCACCATCTTCACAATTGTTGTTAAAGTCCATGTTGCAGCCAGTGTGTCAGTCCATCTCATTGAGGGTCTTCCTCTTTTTCACTGAACTTCTTCTTTACAAAGCATGATGTCTTTCTCCAGGGACTGGTCCTTTCTGATAACATGTCCAAAGTACGTGAGAGAAGTTTCTCCATCTTCGCTTCAAGGAGCATTCTGGCTGTACTTCTTCTGAGACAGATTTGTTTGTTCTTCTGGCAGTCCATGATATATTCAATATTCTTCACCAACACCATTATTCAAAGGCATCAATTCTTCTTTGGTCTTCCTTATTCATTGCCCAGCTTTTGTATGCATTTGAAGCAATTGAAAATACCATGACTTGGGTCAGGTGCACCTTATTCCTCAAAATGAAATCTTTGCTTTTAACACTTTAAAGAGGTCTTTTGCAGCAAATTTGCCCAATGAAATATGCCTTTTGATTTCTTGACTGTTCTTCCATGGGCATTGATTGTGGATTCAAATAAAATGAAATCCTTGACAACTTCAATATTTTTTCCATTTATCATGATGTTGTTTATTAGGCCAGTTGTGAGAATTTTTGTTTTCTTTATGTTGAGATGTGAAGGCTATAGTCTTTGATCGTCATCGGTAAGTGCTTCAAGTCTTCACTTTCAGCAAGCAAGGTTGTGTCATCTGCATAATGCAGGTTGTTAATGAGTCTTCCTCCAATCCTGATGCCACATTCTTCTTCGTATAGTTCAGCTTCTCAGATTATTTACTCAGCATATAGATTGAATAAGTATGGTGAAAGGATACACCTTTGATGCATACCTTTCCTGATTTTAAACCATGCAGTATCTTGTTTTCCTGTTTGAATGACTTCCTCTTGGTCTATGTACAGGTTCTGCATGAGCACTATTAAATGTTCTGGAATTCCCATTATTCTCAATATTATCTATAATTTGTTATGATCCACACAGTCAAATGCCTTTGCATAGTCAATAAAACACAGGCAAACATCTTTCTGGTATTCTCTGCTTTTGTCAAGATCCATGTGACATCAGTGATGATATCCCTCATTCCACCTCCTCTTCTGAATCTGGCTTAGAACAACATAAATTTATAATTTAACAGCTCTGTAGGTCAAAAGTCTAACACGTGTTTCACTGGGATAAAATCATAGAGTGGAAGGACTGTGTTTGGTTCTGGAGGCTCTAGGGGAAAACCAACTTCCATGTCTTTTCCAGCTTCTACAACCTTCCCTCATTTCTTGGCTTGTGATTCCTTCCTCCATCTTCAAAGGCAGCAAAACCACATCTCTCTAACCTTTTTTCTGTAGCTACGTCTCCTCGGACCACAGGTGGAAAAGATTGTCCACTTTTTTAAAGATCTGTGTAATTAAATGGGAGACCCCGGGTGGGGAAAACAGTTAATGCACTCTCAAGCTAACTGAAAGGTTGGAGGTTCGAGTCCACCCAGAGGCACCTCAGAAGAAAAGCCTAGTGATCTATTTTTGAAAAAAATCAGCCATTGTAAACCTTGTGGAGCATAGTTCTACTGACATACATGTAGGATCACCTTGAGTCAGAGTCGACTTTACATCATCTGGTGGTACTAACTTGAACTTGATTTTCTTTTTAATGTGACTGTCATTTCTTCTTTTTTAAAAATAATATATTTTATTTTGATGAAAATATACACAGCAAAACATACACCAATTCAACAATTTCTGCATGTACAATTCAATGTCATTGATTAGATTCTTCAAATTGTACAACCATTCTCAGTATTCTTTTCCAAATTATTCCTCCATGATTAACATAAAATCGCTGTCCCCTAAGTTTCTCATCTAACATTTAAAACTGCTGTTGTCAATTTGATCACATATAGATAATTCTTTGAAGGAACACAATCTCAAGGCAGGTATTGTTTACCAATTAAGCAACACTGTTGTTTGGTTTAAAGAAGACTTCAGGGAATAGTTTTGGTTTAATGTTTAAAGCTTAAAGATCATTTCAGGGCAATAAATTTCAGGGGTGCATCCAGCCTCAATGCTCCAGAAAATCTGGATTCCATGAGAATTTGAAATTCTGTTCTGTAGTTTTCCTCTTTTTGATCAGGGTTCTTCTACAGAATCTTTGATTAAAATGTTCGGTAATGGTAGCTGGGTACGATCCAGTTCTTCCAGTCTCATGGAAAAGGCAGCAGCTGTTTATGGTGGCAATTACATACGCATTTCATTTCCTCATTGGATTCCTGACTCTCCTTCTTCCTCTGTTGCTCCAGGTGAATAGAAACCAATTGTACTTTGGATAGCCACTCGCAAACTTTCAAGATCCCAGACACTATGCAACAAACTAGGAGGTAGAATAGAAACACTGAAAACGATATTAGGCCAGTTAACTGGGATGTCCCATGAAACCATGACCCTAATCTGTAAACCAAGAAAACAAGTCCCATGAGATGTTTGGTTGTATGTAAGCAGCATCAACAACTACTCTGTTTATTTTTGGTTGTTGTTGTTGTTGTGTTGTAAATATATATATAACACAACATTTGGCACTTCAACACTTTTCAGGTGTACAGCTTAGTGATATCAATTACATTTCTCACATAATTTTCTTTCCTGATCTCAGCCAGCTTATTTCTCATCCCCTGATGTAATTTTGTTATCTCTTTTTTCAATCTTTATATGTCACAAAATGCATGTTTTTTTTTAAATGTACTGAAAAGCATTTTTATATAATTTTATCTGTTAGAATAATTTTTCTCATTTTTTATGCTCATTCCTTTCAGGTTTAATGAAATGTACTTTTAAAAAAGTATGTCTTACTGTTTTTCTTACAGTTTTTAGTTGGTTTTAAGAGAATACTAGGAAGAAGTGCTTTTACCCAGCCATCTTTAATCCAAGGTCTATATTTTACTGTAAACTATAAATCATTATGAATTATAGATATTTTGGGTTTATTTTGCACTTAGTCCAACAAACACATAACGCCAATTACTGAAAATCTTCTGCACTAAATACTGGGAAAAAAAAAAAAAACACCACCAAAAAACCCATTGTTTTGAGCTGATCCCAACTCATAGCAACCCCATGTGTGCAGAGTAGTACTAAGCTCCATAGGGTTTTCTTGGCTGTAATCTTAAAGAAGCAGATCACCAGGCCTTTCTTCTGAGGCTCTGCTGAGTCGGTTCGAACTGCCAACCTTTTGGTTAGTAGCCAAGTGCAAACCATTGAGGACACTCAGATACTTCAGAGGAGTTAAAAATGAGGTACCAATGAAATGTTATAGGAATTGATAGAATGAGAGATCAGATCTTCTGACAGGATAAACAAAAAGATTC